TAGTGGTGGGAGGAAGTTCAGCTTGGTGACACAGCCGGAAAAACACAGTGATATAAACGTGATGTCGGAAATGTAATACGCCTTTCTATACCATATATGTCACACCTTTGTAAACACATATTTATGTACCACATATGTGACATCTGCGTCGCAATATGTATTTGTGCACCATATATGTCATACCTATGTCACAGATTGTATTTGTATACCATGATATATAGCACACCTATGTCACAATATGTATTTGTGTACCATATATGTCACACCTATGCGACGATACGTTGTACAACACATATGTCCCACGTCACAATGTATCTCATATAAGACACGGATATGATACAATACGTTGTATACCATATTTGTTACACCTGTGTCACAATGCATATTTGTGTATCGTATATGTCACATCTATGTCACAATGCGTATTTGTATACCATATATGTCACGCCTTTGGGACAATACGTTGTATATCATATATGCAAACATGTCACAATGCGTGTTTCTATCCCACATATACCACACCTATGGGACAATAGGTTGTATACCATATATGCCACACCTGTGTCACAATGCATATTTGTGTAAAATATATGTCAAACCGTTGGACAAGGCGTTGTATACCATATGTCTGTCATACTTATGGTAATACGTATTTGTATACTATATGTAACAGCAACGACACACATCTGTGACAAAGTATGTATGACCCGTGAAGGTTAACAGTATACCATGCTTCTGGTAGAGGCGTGTAACGGGATATGGCGGTAAGATTCAGGTACGAGTTGTACACGCCATCGGTAACTAAACTGTGGAGATCGATGATGTCAATCACTGAATTGTCTGTCTCGACTCGATTATGCACATACCGCCGTCTCTCTCGCTTATGTCCTCTCCCCTTCTCTCTCTCTCCCTTATGTCCTCTCCCCTTCTCTCTCTCTCCCTTATGTCCTCTCCCCTTCTCTATCTCTCCTTATGTCCCTCTCCCCTTCTCTCTCTCTCTCCTTCTCCCCTTCTCTCTCTCTCCCTTTATGTCCTCTCTTCTCTCTCTCTCCCTCATGTCCCTCTCCCTTCTCTCTCTCCTCCTATGTCCTCTCCCTTCTCTCCTCTCCCCTCTCCCTTGTCCTCTCTCTTCTCTCTCCCTTTCTCCTCTCTCTCTCCCTTATGTCCTCTCCCCTTCTCTCTCTCCCTTATGTCCCTCTCCCCTTCTCTCTCTCTCCTTTATGTCCTCTCTTCTCTCCCTCTCTCTCTCTCTCCCTTATGTCCCTCTCCCTTCTCTATCTCTCCCCTTCTCTCTCTCCCTCCCTTCTGTCCCTCTCACCTTCTCCCCCCTTCTCTCTCTGTCCCCTTATGTCCTCTCCCCTTCTCTCTCTCTCTCGCTAATGTTATACTAGTATACTTCACTCAGCTGAACGCTGGCAGTGATTGATATTAACCTTGTAAGAACAGATAGGGAAGGCAAATAATATAACATGTACATTTATTTGTTATTAGTAAATACATTTAGTTTGTTTGCTGGTGGTCGCGTGTTTATGTTGAGTTGCGAAAGTTAAATTCACATCAGATAATTATATATTCACTTCCTTGTAAACTGTCTACAGGTCTCTGGCTTGTCAACAATTATTCAGTTGTATACACACAACCCGGAAGTAGGTTTCATGTGTTGACTCTCACTGTGATGCCCCTTTCACTCGCTCTAACACAACTATGATAACTTTGGACGGCCACTCCCAAAAAGTAATACATCACTACGACTATAAGTTTGGCATGAAATGCATGTGGACCCGGTTTTTGTAAATATCTCTTCATCCAATGACCCAATCGATCTCAAACTGTGCAAGTGGATGTTTTGTCAGACAACCTAATCACATTGTAAATCACCGATTTTATGCATTTGTATTAAAGAATCTGTCTATGTAACTGTCAACAAAATAAACAGCAGAACGCAGACGACTTGCAGAGGGAGGGAGCCAATGACCTGTAACAGCGGCAGTGTTGGGTCATAAAGGTAAATGCACGTGCAGTTCATGATAGTTACCTGTGCACTGCACAGTGATAGACCGTTTGGATCATTCACAGTGACTACTTCTAGCTGTCATCATGAAAGCTTAGTCAGATGATGCTAAACGTTTAATGAGAAATGTGTTGAATTTTTTTAAAAGAGAGCAAACGTAGCAAACCGATTTATAAGGTGTCGGATTACATGAAACGTAAAACTTTTGCTCTTGGCATGAAAAAGAACATCGTGCTAACAATTGTGACAAATAAACCAACAAACAAAACCTTGTACAAAAGGTATGCATCCAAAATTAGATTCTTTTGACATCAGGGTCATCAGAGATGTCATTCGCCGGCTATTTGCTAGAAATGAACACCTCTTCATACCTGTCACGTGCATAGCTGACTCTACATTGACGAACGTTGACCTTTATGACCCAACACTGCCGCTGTTACAGGTCTGCAAGACGTCTGCGTTCTGCTGTTTATTTTGTTGACAGTTACATAGACAGATTCTTTAATACAAATGCATAAAATCGGTGATTTACAATGTGATTAGGTTGTCTGACAAAACATCCACTTGCACAGTTTGAGATCGATTGGGTCATTGGATGAAGAGATATTTACAAAAACTGGGTCCACATGCATTTCATGCCAAACTATATGTGGTGGTGTGTGTGTATGTGTGTGTGTGAGAGAGAGAGAGAGAGAGAGAGAGAGAGAGAGAGAGTGTGTGTGTGTGTGTGTGTGTGTGTGTGTGTGTTATACATACACCCGTACCGTACCGACTCATACACATACTCTTAGGTAACTCAAGGATTAAACGCCTTAAACTGTACATAGATTATATTAAACTGGAGAATACAATACACTGTACTATCTCCTGATTCCATGCGCTGCTCCAAGGATCACGCCTTTAACGGTACATAGATTATATTAAACTGATAAAGAGTAATTGTAGTATAATATCCTACACTTTCATAGTTCCTGATTCCATACCCTGCTCCAAGGACCACGCACGCCTTTAACGGTACATAGATTATATTAAACTGAAAACGAGTAATTGTAATATAATATACTACACTTTCATAGTTCCTGATTCCATACCCTGCTCCAAGGATCACGCCTTTAACGGTACATAGATTATATTAAACTGAAAACGAGTAATTGTAATATAATATACTACACTTTCATAGTTCCTGATTCCATACCCTGCTCCAAGGATCACGCCTTTAACGGTACATAGATTATATTAAACTGAAAACGAGTAATTGTAATATAATATACTACACTTTCATAGTTCCTGATTCCATACCCTGCTCCAAGGATCACGCCTTTAACGGTACATAGATTATATTAAACTGAAAACGAGTAATTGTAATATAATATACTACACTTTCATAGTTCCTGATTCCATACCCTGCTCCAAGGATCACGCCTTTAACGGTACATAGATTATATTAAACTGAAAACGAGTAATTGTAATATAATATACTACACTTTCATAGTTCCTGATTCCATACCCTGCTCCAAGGATTGCGCCTTTACCGGTACATAGATTATATTAAACTGATAAGGAGAAATTATAATACACTATACTATACTGTCATAGCTCTTGATTCCGACCCGTGAAGGTCCGGGTTAGAATGAACCTTCAGTAACCAATGCTTGTGGTAAGAGACGACTAACGGGATCGGGTGGTCAGGCTCGCTGGCTTGGTTGACACACGTCATCGGTTCCCAATTGCGCAAATCGATGCTCATGCTGTTGATCACTGGGTTGTCTGGTCCAGACTCGATTATTTACAGACCGCCGCCATATAGCTGGAATATTGCTGAGTGCGGCGTAAAACTAAACTCACTCACTCATGATTCCGTTTCCTGCTTCAAGGATAACGCCTTTAACAGTGAACCTGTTTAGATTCTGGAGTTGTTGTGTTAGGGGATGTATGCAATTTCATGTGTTTAGACCGTAGGTGTGTTTAGAGACAAAACATTCCACTGAATGTGGATTCCACTGAGGTTGTTTCATCTAAACATGTCCTCTGTATGTTTAGAATCTGAACACATTTTACAGGGTACTCTCTTTTTCACAGTACAGTCGTCGACATGTATTGTAACATAAGTGAGTGAGTGAGTGAGTTTAGTTTTACGCCGCACTCAGCAATATTCCAGCTATATGGCGGCGGTCTGTAAATAATCGAGTCTGGACCAGACAACCCAGTGATCAGCAGCATGAGCATCGATCTGCGCAATTGGGAACCGATGACATGTGTCAACCATGTCAGCGAGCCTGACCACCCGATCCCGTTAGTCGCCTCTTACGACAAGCATAGTCGCCTTTTGTGGCAAGCATGGGTTGCTGAAGACCTATTCTACCCCGGATCTTCACAGGTGTGGAACATCAGTAAATAGGCGCCTGGATGAAACAAATGTGATCAGCTCTCTTTCCGGACGTATATCTACGCGTTAACTGTTTTCAAGTTGATCCCCGTTACAGGTTTACCCCACTAGTACACCAACCTCAACGTGTCAATCGGAGTAAAGCATCTAATTGAAATTGTATTTAATTTATTCATTTTTATTTTATTCATCATTTGGACCGTTGTCTCTGTAATATGATATGATCACATGACATGATGAGATATGATATGCTATGCGATATGATATATGATATGATATGATATATGATTGGTATGATATGATATATGATAGGATATGATATGAGATATAATATATGTTATGCTATGCTATGCTATGCTATGCTATGCTATGCTATGATGAATAGAAATCTAACGTAAACAATCGACTGCATTGCATGTCTTTTTTATCAGTTCTATGTTTAAATACTATCATTCCTGTATATGATATATAGTGAGGTAAGTATTATCTTCCCGATGTAAATACATTATTTCCATATCAGTGAAGGATAACGTGTGTACGACATTCCCCGACACGGAATATAACACCGTTATAAACACCATATAATACAACAGACAACACAGATTATATATCACCAATTTTATTTACAACTGACAATCTATGAAATATGAATATTAAAATTCATTAACATTTTGCCATGTTCACGTAAATGTCACCATTTGAAGTTGTCACAAAAACACATATTAAAACCAAGTCTTTACATAGAATGTATGAACTGGCTGAGTGACTGAGTGATTTCTATCTATATTATAATATAGAGCATTCTCTACTAATTTCATCTAAAGCTAACCTGTCAGCTCTGGCACCCCCAAGAACCAGTTTGTTCATTGGGCAATTGTCAAAATCACATAGAATAACGAGATATTGTCTATGGTCAGGCAAAATGGCAGTCAAAATTCACTTCCAATTCTCTTATAATTAGTGGATAATGTAGGATTAATGTTAACATGGCGAAAAGACATCTCGATTCCTCCACCAAACTTCCTTTAAATAATACAAAAGTCTCCCACTTGGAGCGAATTACCTATGAATAACCTAAACATGGAGCGAATTACCTATGTGACGAACTGTCCATAACGGAACTATCCAAGGGGAGTTGTCATGTAGAGAAATGTCCTGATGTTAGGAATTGTCCCGTAGGGAAACGTGAGGACTCCCAGGAAAGTGGGTTAGTAGCATGTTTACACAAGGCTGGAACCCTCCTCTATATCTAATTTGATAATTGTCTTGTCTCATCGAACCAACTTTAATGGTTCCAACACCAGATCCAGACCAACCCATGACGCAAACATTTTCCACCCTAAACCTCTTCCCCTTACACATTGACGACCCCGTGGGTATAACGTCGACCCAGGATTTATTACCCTCATCAACAGTTGACTGAAAACTCTACAGTTTAGAGGGTTTTTCAAAGATAACGTCTTCACCGAATATCTATAAATGTAACGAGGAAGTCTAGCCCTACAAACCAGATATTAAATAACGTACTGGCGTATAAACATCACGCTTACTACTGTTCAGAGGAGCAATGGTAGGGGTTCAGACACCGTGTGTCACCCTGTGTATATATGCCTCCTCTCTACAATGCAATGTGCACCCGGAAGTTTTCATTTTTCAGGATCCGTATCGGACCACAATGATCATAGCCTTAAGAGCTGTTTTCACGACCACATAGTGTCCGGCTGTATTCATTGCGTCACTTCCTTTTGTGCTTTCCCGGAAATGACGTCAGTATAATACAAATCGTCATCGTCCTGCACAGGTGGTTTTGTATCAGCAGCTTTTTTAAAAGTACTGTCAACATCGTCATAGGCTTCCTCATCGTCGAATTCTTCATCGGATCCCCTGCCGTACTCAATCGGGTCGGCATAATTCTCGTCGTCGTCGGAATCATGGTCTTCGTACAAGCCATTGTCAGCTGCAGGTTTGTTCTTGGCGTTTTGTTTCGGTAATGGCGGAGGCCGCATCGGGGCGCGATCTGTTATAGATTTCTTGGGTGCCTTTTTCTTTGGTGCCGTGTTCTCTGTTGCAGGCTTCTTTGGTGCCGTTTTCTTTGGCACAGGAGGGGGCTTTGGACTTTCTGGTTGGGTTCCATTTCTTTTAGAAGCTGGTAAAACCTCCTCATAATTTTGTCCACCGTCGCTATCGTCATCGCTGTCACTCTCGTGTTTGTGGTTGTTGTTTTGCTCTTTTTCGACGGGCACGGCAATGTAATATTCGTCATCGTCGCTGTCGTCTTTCAAAAAATCATTCTCTTCCTTGGGGGATGATACGGCTGCAACCAAACGATGACATGGTCATTGTACTATTAAATGTCACGTTTTCTAAGCATACTGTCGGTGGTCGAAATACAATTCTATTTTTTTAAAGATTTCTGTAATGGACTAATGGAAAAGTCAGGGGGTTACTTCGCTTCCAATGTTGAACTAATTTAGAGTGGTTCAATGATGCAGGACGGACTTGTTCGGATGAAAAGAACGGCCTATAAAAGTTTAGGTTTTAGGTTTTGTTGGGTGATCTATGTCCAGGACACTAAGATATCGTAACGAATCTTGCCTGGCGTCACTACTAGGATACATAATGTGTATTCCAATCTTTACAATTCACAGTTTATTTACTACATGCCAAGCTGATTGTTAGCATGACAGAACATTGGGCATTCATTTTGAAACTTTTTCAAATTCTGAAATGTTTAACAGTAGGTTGCCTTCTGAGAAAAATAGACCTATACATTGTATAAAAGTATTCAAACCTATTTATTTTAAAGTTTTCAGAATTAATTATTTCAAATTTACAAAATGTTCATCGAAAGCAGCAGGCCGTTGCTTTACGAAAGCATCGTACCTTTCGATTTGGATGTATTTTTCTTGTTTTCAGAGGTTGTGTTACACTTCTCAACGGCATCTTTCCATTCTTTAAAATCCTGCGTATTTTCTGCCAAAAACTAAAACAAAACATATACATGTGTAAAACATTAGTATCGACTCTTTTATAAACATTTAAATTAACATTGAAAGTAAATTAAAATTTAGACATTACAGATTTATGTTTGCAGCACTACCATCGTTCAGGAAACACATCCGTACATTTTCCCGGAGACCATAGCTAGTTGCTGAAGCTTAGCCCGGACGTGATCACGGCGGGACTTTTAAAGATTTCTTCTTGACCAGTAATACCAGGAAGCTAGGTATTATGTATTTACCTGGTAGGAGCGCTTTCCAAGACACCCCAACTCGAAACTGAGATCCTTCTTGAAACTTTCTTCAGGAAGGTAGGCCGCCTTTCTGAACTTGTAGCCTGTATTAAAGTATGTATTATATATATTAAAATGTTGAAGACTACAAGATTCTTTCATATTACTCCAGTTAATCTGTCATGGTATGATTATAGATCGTTTCCAGTGTTTTTTTATCTACTCATATACAATTTTTTAGGAAATGAACGAGATTATTGGACCTATAAAACAACTGAGATCGCCATCACGCCTTCTTTGCCTCTCTTCCTCAAGTGTTTTTGTTGATAAATTGGATTACTTCCTATGAAGACGTTTATGAAGGGGGTGGGAGCGGGGGGTGGCTGTTATTTATGATACGTTCACCTTGATGGAAAACGTATCGTGCTGTCTCATGGGGCAAGGTGGGCGATCTGTCTAAGGCGCCGCGCTAGTAAGCGAAAGGTGCCAGGATCGATCCCCACTTGTGACCGGGTGTGAAAACCTTGGCGCTAACATTACTTGCAGGCTCTTTCAGTGTTGTCACAACCCCTAGTGTTTCACTTAAAAGAACCCACTAATGCGATGGTAGGTGACCAGGTGGACACACGAACGCGTGCAGACACCTACGCGTGCGAGTATAGTAACGTGCAGTATCATTGGACAAAATACTGTAGCTATGTGTAACAGTTAACCCAGCTTCAAAATGGGTACTTTGTGAGGATGAGGCTGTGCAATAACTCGCTGCGCCAGACAGGCTGCATGCGTTGAATACTCCCCAGGGAGTTGTTTAAAAAGTGAGTGAGTGAGTTACAATTTATCGTCACATGGCAATATTTCAGCCATATCATGACGAGAACAATTAATTTTATACGCAGTAATTAATGGTAAATTGTAAAAACCTGTCAACGAAGGACAATAAAATAACTAGATTATCACAGATTCGAATTTACAACTAGTAATCAAATCTAAAACAGTTTAACTATAGATGACAATACAAGGTAAAAACAGGCTATATATTGCCAACAACTGAAGGTAGATCACCTTACTAGGGACCATGGGGACTTACAGTACATTTGCTTCCTGCATGGACCCTAGCTGGATTTACACCATCCCTTCAGCTATTAGCAATTTTAGATAATCTAGCCACAAATTAAACGAACACATATTCTACGATTAAAAAAGGGGAGAGTTTAAATTTACTTTGAATGTTTTGGGAGTTAGGTATCCTCTCAGGGGGACAATCATTTTACAGTACTTTAACCCCCCTTGAGGATACAGCCACTAACAATCTGAGTTATTAATTTAAACTTCCAATCATAAAATACTTATCTATTTACAAATCTGTTAACAAATCTAATTCTTTTAAAAATGCAATAATTAAATGAGAACTTATATTACTAAAAAGATCCTTCATAGTTGGTTAAAAAGAATGCCAGAAAAAAGACATTCGTTGACCAAGGGAACACTCCAGCGCCTTGAGCATGTACTTGTTGCGTGGATATGTGTGCTATACATATATCCTATAATACGTGCATTAACCATGTCAGCGGTGAGGTGAGGTGAGGTGAAATTGGGTTTAACGTCGTGCTTGAGAATATGTCGCTCATATGACGACGTGCATGCGTGTGTATGTGTATGTGCGGCTGCTTGTACTAGCCCAGACTGAAGCTGGTTTTATAGTGCTAGCCCACTGAGATATCATGCCGCAGTGAAGCATGAATACCCCACTCAGACACATTATACTGACTCCGAGCCGACCAGTCCTTGTTGTACCCATTAATGCCGAGCGCCAGGCAGGGACCAACAAGTACCATATTTTAACGTCTTTTGGTATGACGCGGCCGGGGATCGAACCCGCGACCTTCCGCTCTCCGGGCGGACGCTCTAACCACTACACCACGGAGGCGGTCCCATGTCAGCGAGTCCGGCCCCATTGGATTGCTGATGACCAGTATGTGTGTATGTGTAACCCCAGTGTGTAACCCCTGCGTTTGACACACAATGTTTTAGCAATGTTTTACTCTGCTTTTAGTAATATTATAACAACATCACTTTCGGACACACCAAAAATGGACACAATTAACTCATCTTTGGAATCGAACCCGGGTCTTCGGCGTGACGAGCGAACCCTTTAACCACTAGGCTAACCTAAGGAGCCCTCACCAATATATGTAATATGTATAACACTGCAGTGTATAAATAAGAAATATCACGACTGATGTGCCGCCTGTCAAAAACAGCCAAACATACTACTCTTTATTCAGATGTACCCGTGAAGATCCGGGTTAGAATTGATCTTCAGTAACCCATGCTTGTGTAAGTGGCGAGTAACGGGATCGGGTGGTCAGGCTCGCTGGCTTGGTTGCTACATGTTATCGTATCTCAGCTGTGTAGATCGATGCTCATGATGTCACTCACTGGATTGTCTCGTCCAGCCATATAGTTGGAATATTGCTGAGTGCGGCGTTAAAAATAATACTAGTGGTTGATAGTATGATCAACGGTTCTGACCCTCCAGCGATGATAATATGATCAGATCAAAATGAGCAGAGATTGGTCACACGTGGAATTTCTACCTACAGGCCACTGCAACACAACGTTTCTGGGCTTTTCCTTGCCCATTCGTCAGGTGACTGACTGAGTTTAGTTTTACGCCGCTTTTAGCAATATTCCAGCAACATCACGGCGGGGGACACCAGAAATGGGCTTCACACATTGTGCCCATGTGGGGAATCGAACCCGGGTCTTCGGCGTGACGAGCCAACGCTTTAACCACTAGGCTACCCCCACCGCCCTCGTCAGGTGAATGGCGAAGGGGCAAGGAATAACCCAGAAACGTTGTGTATACAATGAGGAAGAAGTTGACATCCATAATATTTTGTCTTATACTTAATACCAACTTCTATACACTTCTCAAGAACCTCAAGCTTTATACCTTTCGCGAACACCTCTCCATTTTTGCCTAATACTGTACCTGCTAGGCTAAAGGCTCCTGCTTGTTTTTTGTCTGCGAAGTTGACAAAGTAGTAGAAGATGTTGTGTTGGATGACGCAGTATCGCCTTTGGTAACTGCCACGGTGGAACAAGGTCTCTGGAAGTGATTATTTATCATATATACAGCTTGTTCACGGCGAAAGTATAATGTTTTGCTCGGAAAAACTGATGTATTCAGACTCCCTCTTTTGTTCCACTCTCTATTTCGTTCTCTTCTCACCCTTTCTTTCTCTCTGAGAAGAGCTGACTATAGAATAGGGGGGGGGGACATGATACAACATCAGATACTGCACTCTAGTGTACCCTCAAACAGACGTAAGAGCACCCATTCTCTCTCTCCCTCTCTCTGTAATGTGTATGACGGATTGCTTGTTTTAAAATTTTGTGCTACGACTTTTTCTGTTTGTGAATAATAGTGTATTGAATGACAGTGTATTTTAAGAAACTCATTTAAAATTGTACGTAAAATGTGTATGTATGCAGACTTGGTCTGGTCGCTATGTGGTAATATATTGCCGATGCGACGTAAAATTCAACTCAACTAACTCTCTTGAAAAAAGTGCTGATTGACAGTTAAACAAAGCAATGAGCATATACGTATACAGTGCTCTTGCTCTCTCTCTGTCTCTCTTTCTCTCTCTCCATCATATACCTTGAAACTAGTGCTGATTGACAGTTAAACAAAGCAATAAACATGTTCATGGACAGTTCTGTCTCGCTCTGTCTCTGTCTCTCGCATGCTCTCTCTCTCTCTCTCTCTCTCCCCCTTCTCTCTCTCTCTTTCTCCCCTTCTCTCCCCCCCTCTCTCTCTCTCTCCTTCTGTCCCTCTCCCCTTTTCTCTCCCTTATGTCCCTCTCCCCGTCTCTCTCTCTCTTTCTCCCCTTCTCTCTCTCCCTTATGTCCCTCTCCCCTTCTCTCTCTCTCTCCTTATGTCTCTCCCCTTCTCTCCCTCTCCCAATCTCCCTCCCTCTCTCTCTCTCTCTCTGACCCCTCTCTCTCTCTCTCTCTCTCTCTCTCTCTCTCTCACACACATCTACTGCACACTTTACTCTGAACCAACCTCACTCCTATAAGACACTAACCTTTCTTTCTTCTCTTGTCCAGAAAACCCGCTTTGGTGATGTCTTTGAGGGCCCTTGCAGGAACTTCAGGAATTAGTTCATCAACTGAAAAGAGGACACACAGTTACTCACGTAAGTCATTTCCCATATTCACGAGTTCATCTCTAGAACAAGTGCTGGCTACACCAATGTTGATATATGTCATATAACATCTTACACATCGTGTCTTCTCGATTCATTTAGGTGGCAAAGTACTGTGGTGAATGTTTGGCAACAGAACTGAAAACGAATATCATTTAATATTTGTGTGTGAACTATTTTCTGGTCTCTAATTTACTTTCCAAATATTTCACATAATGTGAGATGAGTATGTTTTAAACTTCATTCTGACATGACGGGGCGATGGGGTAGCCTTGTGGTTAAAGCGTTCGCTCGTCACACCAACGACCCGGGTTCGATTCCCCACATGGGTACAATGTTCATGAAGCCCATTTCTAGTGGTTAAAGCGTTCGCTCGTCACACCAACGACCCGGGTTCGATTCCCCACATGGGTACAATGTTCATGAAACCTATGATATCATACTACTGAGCCTACTACGTTGACGGATCCACTGGAGTGAGTGAGTGAGTTTGGTTTTACACCGCTTTTAGTAATATTCCAGCAATATCACGGCGGGGGACACCAGAAATAGGCTTCACACATTGTACCCATGTGGGGAATCGAACCGGAGTTTTCGGTGTGACGAACGAGCACGTTAACCACCAGGCTATCTCCCCGACAACTGGACTACAGAGGGGTTATCACGAAATAAAATTATTAAATTATTAAATTGTTAACACGCTCTCGACCTCTACATGCAAGGTTACTGAGAAAGTGTATTTACATTTTAGCAATCTACATCGGCTACAATGATCCAAATATCTGGAGATAAATATACTACAAGAGATTCCATGATATTTGATTGGCTGACCAAGCACTATGCGTTTGCGTTTATATTCCTAATAATTAGGCCACGCCCACGCCACTGATTGGGTAATAGTAAAGTGGGCGGGGTTTAGGTCGAACATTTTAGTGGTAATGATTCGATAAGCAGTATAATAAGCTATTATCATCGACCTATACATCTTTCCATTATACGTAAAAAACACTGAAGCCAATTTTAACATTTCAAAACATTTCGTACCATATTCATACATTTTAAAAATATATTTAAATTTAAATTCCAAAAAGCACCTACAAAAGCTATTCAAAACGCAGGTCACATGAGAACTCCCAAGCAAAGAAATGGTTAGAATCTTAAATAAATCTATATGTTTCCGTTCAGATCTACTCACCGTCAGTTCGGGTAAGATCGTCAGATTTCGGAAGTAGGTCTGGATAGTCTTGTCGGAGTCTGTAGACCTGGTCTAGTAGTTTCTCTTTATGAAGCAAGACTTTCCGTGACACCTTTTCGTTTCGTAGGGTCTCGTTGAAAAACGCATCGATCTCTGTAAAGATATTGTTAAGAGTAGTGCAAATGACTGACGAACAATGATCTCATATGCTGGGGCATGTTTCTCAATGCGAACATCGGGGAGCGGGTTATACGACAAAAAAATGGATGAATGGTGAGAATCGAACCCGGACCCTAGGCGATTCTAACGAACGAAAGGGAGTGGGGTTATACGGCAATATTCCAGTCAAAAACTTATAGTCCAGTGGAATCTAACCCGTACCTTCGGCGGGTCGAGCGATCGTTAGGGAGTTGGGGTTTATACCGCCAGCAATATTCCAGTCAAAAATGATATTCCAGTGGAATCGAACCCGCACCTTCGGCGGGTCGAGCGAACGTTAGGGACTTGGGGTTTATACCGCCAGCAATATTCCAGTCAAAAATTATATTCCTGTGGAATCGAACCCGTACCTTCGGTGGGTCGAGCGAACGTTAGGGAGTTGCGGTTATACCACCAGCAACACTCCAGTCAAAAATGATATTCATGTGTAATCGAACCCGTACCTTCGGTGGGTCGAGCGAACGTTAGGGAGTTGGGGTTTATACCACCAGCAATATTCCAGTCAAAAGTGATATTCCAGTTGAATCGAACCCGTACCTTCGGCGGGTCGAGCGAACGTTAGGGAGTTGGGGTTTATACCGCCAGCAATATTCCAGTCAAAAATTATATTCCTGTGGAATCGAACCCGTACCTTAAGCGGGTCGAGCGAACGTTAGGGAGTTGGGGTTTATACCGCCAGCAATATTCCAGTCAAAAATGATGTTCCTGTGGAATCGAACCCGTACCTTCGGCTGGTCGAGCGAACACATTAACCACTTCCCGTATTACCCTACATGTATGCTGGTCAGCTCGCTCACGCACTTACATATACCACGAACTTACATGTACTCTAGCACTCTATATATAGAACCGGTAATATTTGTATCTTTTGGTGACACACAAACATGATTTACATAACATGTTAAGTGTATGTTCTGCGATAACAGTTTTATTGTTCACGGCGAGATTGTACACATTGTACACAGACTTCCCTGTTGTAGCAAATATTTTATACCTGATTACAAGTCATACATGACACTCGAGACACAGGTGGGTCTGGCTGAAACACGCCAACAACCCATTGTCGGGGCAGCTAAATACATGTCGTATACAGCGTGTGTCTGGTGACACGGGCACAGGGGGAATCATAAACACGCATCCGCCAGCAAACAAGCTACACTTATTTACTAATTACAATTTATATGTATATTTTATACCGTTTGCCTTTCCTATCTGCTTTTACAAGATTAATATCAATCACTGTCAGCCTTCAACTTGAGTGAAGTATATAACATTAGCGAAAGAGAGAGAGTAAGAGACAGAGAGAGAGAGAAAGAGAGAGAGCGTGAGAGAGAGACAGACAGAGAAAGAGAGAGAGACAGAGAGAGAGACAGAGAGAGAGAGAGAGAGAGAGAGAGAGAGAGAGAGAGAGAGAGAGAGAGAGAGACAGAGAGAGAGACAGAGAAAGAGAGAGAGCGTGAGAGAGAGACAGACAGAGAAAGAGAGAGAGACAGAGAGAGACAGAGAAAGAGAGAGCGTGAGAGAGAGACAGACACAGAGAGACACAGAGAGACAGAGAGAGAGTGAAAGACAAACGAGAGAGAACGCGAGCGAGAGACAGAGAGAGACAGAGAGAGAGAGAGAGAGAGAGAGACAGACACAGAGAGAGACACAGAGAGAGACAGAGAGAGAGTGAAAGACAAACGAGAGAGAACGCGAGCGAGAGACAGAGAGAGAGAGACAGACAGACAGAGAAGGAAGAGAGAGAACTGTACACGTACATGTTCATTGCTTTGTTTAACTGTCAATCAACACTATTTTCAAGGTACATGATGGCGTTCTGTACATACAGTGTGTTCATCGTTGCGTGTTTAAAGCCTCGCTTATCAATATTCCAGCTTTTTGACGGCGGTATGTTCATAATCGAGTAGAGACGGACAATCCTGTGCTTTACATCATGACAACCGATGTACACAGTTTATATACCGATAGCATGTATCAACCAAGTCTTACTCATACGGCATATCCCGTTAGAGAGAGACCATACCATACAAAAACATACCGTAACAAAACAATCTTTAACAACTTTAACCATTCATACATCGCCAGCGAGTCTGAACGTGCGTGATTTATAGGCGCGATAAACATGTTATTTATCAGGGAGAGCAAACTCAAATACAGCGCAGACAGCTTACTGGAATGTGTTTATGGTGCCCGCTTAATACTAGTATACAAACAAACAAACAACTCCCACTCGCACGCCTTCCGCTACTTTCTCTTGTCATAAGGGGTAGCCTAGTGATTCGCGCGTTTGTTTGTCGATTCCCCACATGGGTACAATGAATGGAGTCCATTTCTGGCGTCCCCCCCCCCCCCGAAATATTACTGGAATATTGCTAACAGCGGCGTAAAACAAAACTTTCGCTCTTGTGATACACATTCAAACCGCTTAATTTATTGTGATCGTTACAAGCCACATGCTCAGCTTCGCTTATCCTGCAATCATGCCGTGGGCACTTACTTCTCGGTATTATACACTGTAAGCACGAACCACGACGGTTAAACGTGGACTACTTTCTTTATATCTATATTTTACTTCTTGTTTGATAAAACACATCTAGACTCGAAAGATACAGGATTCATTTACCTATACCCAATTTTATTGATACATTCAATTTATTAACATAATCCATAAATATACTACCCATCAAATGTTTAAACTCACTTAAATCACTCACTATATGTATTGTATGTATGTATGTATGTATGTATGTATGTATGTATGTATGTATGTATGTATGTGTGTGTGTGTGTGTGTGTGTGTGTGTGTGTGTATATGTATGGAGTCTCTCTCGTGTGTCTCTCTCTCTCGCTCTCTCTGTCTCTCGCTCTCCCTCTATATATCCACATGGGTACAATGTGTGAAGCCCATTTCTGGTGTCCCCCGCCGTGATATTGCTGGAATATTGCTAAAAAGCGGCGTAAAACCATACTCACTCACTCACTCACTCTATATATATGGTTACATCGAATATGAATTTCTCCACTAACTTGGCGGGAACCAACTGCAAACCTTATGCAGATGAATTGCACGAGGATCATGCATCAAATTGCTGAAATACATGTGCATATCGTGCATGGGAACAGCTGCGTCTTCACGGGTGTTAAGTTTTGTTAAGAATTCGCCAATTTTCAATACGTTTCGTCATTTATTGAACTCATGACAATATCCTTTTCAAGGGTACGAATTTGTTTTACAATACACAAGTTCATGTGTAAACGGTACCTTTAAACAGTATGGAATATTTGGCAAAATCTAGTTTGACTAATGTAAGTGGCTACATTTACACTCGTGAGTCTAAACTTTTGATGGGCAGTATATATACAATGGGTGATTTGTATCTAATATATATTTATAATGGTTCAGTGACCTAAAAACCGAACAAGCGTTATCAGTTTAGAGTGAGTGAGTGAGTTTAAGTTTACGCCGCTTTTAGTAGTATTCCAGCAATATCACGGCGGGGGACACCCGAAATGGGCTTCATACATTGTGCCCATATGGGGAATCGAACCCGGGTCTTCGGCGTGACGAGCGAACGCTCTAACCACTAGGCTACCCCACCGCCCCTATCAGTTTAAAAGATAACACGTAAAGATGTGGGTTTGAACTAATCTCAAGCCATTAATGTTTTCTTTGATAACCGGGTCAGGTGAGAAAACTGTTGGTCATTGTGTTCCCCTATCTTTTCCCCTAGAGCACTGCACATGGGGACCGGCTGACTGGGATACACAGCTTCTTTCTTCCCTCGACAAATATATATACTACTTAAAGTACAAGGATATTTACCACAGTACAGTGAGTTTAATTTAACGCCGCACTCAGCAATATTTCAGCTATATGCGGCGGTCTGTACATAGTCGAGTCTGGACCAGACAATCCAGTGATCAACAGCATGAGCATCGATCTACGCAATTGGGATACGATGACATGTGTCAACCAAGTCAGCGAGCCTGACCACCTGATCTCGTTAGTCGACTCTTACGACAAACATGGGTTACTGAAGATAAATTCACCCGGATCTTCACGGGTCCACAGTGCAGTGAGTCAGACATTTATTTATACTTCAAATGACAGCATTTGGTCTTCAGCAACCCATGCTTGCCGTAAAAGTCGACTAACGGGATCGGGTGGTCGGGCCGGCCGACTTGGTTGTCACGTTATCGTATCCTAGTTGTGTCATGAAGTCGATTATTACAGACAGATGTCATATAGCTTGAATATTGCAGAGTGCAGCATTTAACAACAATAAAAACTGAGATAGTTTAAAATATTTTCGAGAGGCTATTTCATCAGAGCGTTCGGTGTAAGTATACTACAAGCACGGAGTGAAAAAACACGATACAATATTTAAATGCTAAATTTTACCGTCACTCGACTTCCCATTCTAACCGGGATTGCTATCACTACGGAATTAAGCACTTTCCATTTTTTTACGTTTCTGTAAATGCTATTATTTAAAAGGCTACTTTCACTTTATAAGTATAAGCACACATATATACATCTTCGTTAATTAATCATCAAGATATTTCGTGATTCTATTTTTAATATCAAGGATGCACTATGTATTAGGAGGTGCTCGCTGTCAAGTCACTGTCATATCGAGACTTCCAGTGTATGCATCCGACAGGGGGCGCTGTTCCGGGTCATCACTACTGTTCCGGAAGTATGTAACAAGTCCAAACGCAGTCATGACACACCACCGTGACATGAGATTAAGAACATCGACGTTTTTGCTTTTGTTATTCGTCCTTGTCATCCCTAAACCTTTTCAAAACGCACGTCTATACATGTTAATAGCAAATATTATTTGCCACGACATCGATAGAAAACATCACTGAATGCTTGTTTGTTGTTTAACGCCGTAAATAATCGAGTCTGGACCACACAATCCAGTGACCAATATCATGAGCAGATATCTACGCAACTGGGATAAATTGACATGGGTCAGCGAGCCTGATCACCCGATCCCGTTAGTCGCCTCTTACGACTAGGATGTTAGGCAAGAAATATTACACATCACGTAATTGTTTGTTTGTTTGTTTGTATGCCGTTTGACGGAAATTTACGCTGCTTTCAGCAATAATTCAGCTGAAGGGCGGTTGTCTGTAAATAATCGAGACTGGACCACACAATCCAGTGACCAACATGATAAGCATCGACCTACACAATGACATGCATTAACCAAGTCTGCGAGCCTGACCAACGTCACGTATATTAGTAACAACTGGTGCAAGTCATGAGTCCATGTGTCATTTCCACTACACATTAAACATCAACTCGTCGTGAGTAAGCTTATTTAATACAATCCCAAACACAATATGCTTGACTTAACACGTGGCTGAGTGGATCAGAACAACCTGGTTGTTTGCCTGTCATTGAATCTCAGTCGGTGCTCATACCGTCAATCACTAGGTGTGTTACAGACCACCGTCATAGACTTGTAATATTGCCAAATGTGCTGTAAAACAAACAAACATTACTTATCTTTAAGCCATGTTACGAAAATGTCAGGAGGACCGCCACCACTACACATATGTATACAGTATATATTCAGTAGCAAAGCGCCTATATGACTGACAATGAACCGCACAAACGTTCATTGAAATTAATAATGTCGTTATTACTTCAGTGTCTCTCAGTTCACAGGTGGGATTACAAACATGTAAATTAACACATTAAATTCATTCCTTAGTTTCGGGAGGTTTGTATCAGCCTTTTGATACGAAATTTACTGATACAAGCGCACAACAGTAAGCTTATCTTCAGGACATATTCCCACGACAGTACATACGGGTACAGCCAGTCAACCGTTGTATGAACAAGCCGATAGTACTCCAGCCTTTATAGGTGTTATTGACGCTGGTTTCATAATAGTTTACAAAACAACATTCGAGCTCCGTGTCGTCATGCTTTCATGTCATATAAGCAGTTGAATACGAGCCATCACAAGTTTAAAGAAAAGATTCACCAACCTGATAGAACATCTCTGACCGAGGCGTTCAAGTTAGCCATGATTAAGATAACCTGTCAAGCCACGAGCTGGGACCACGGATGTCTCTAATGTGTGCATAACACTCTCTAATGCTATTTACTTCCTGGTTCATTCAAGCAAGTTTCGTGACAATCCGTAAACGTCCGGAGTGAGGCGAATTCCAAAGGGATTTGTGTGGTCTAAATTCATTGGATAATAGTAATGCTATAAGCCAATGAAAATGTACGTTGCTTCTATTATATTTTGTATAACATAAGAACACCTATTGCTGAAGTGATATCAAAACCTTGCAGCACAGATGTGCAGCCGAACGGAAACCAGGTAAATATTTCTTTTTCGAAAGGTGATCTCATACATAGACGGGCAACAATGACATGGATCACAGATGTTGATAACAGAAGTATGTTATCATGCGTTTGACATTGCTGAAACAACAAACCCTGTATGGCCTGTTCGAGTGTTGTTTGTCTGTTTGTTTGTTGTTTAACGCCGCATTCAGGAATATTCCAGCTTTCTAACGACGGTCTGTAAATGTTCCAGTTTGGACCAGACATAAAACGACAATCCAGTGATCAACATCATGAGCATCGATCTCCGTAATTGGGATACTGCGACAACCGATGCTTGTCGTAAGAGGGATCGGGTGGTCAGACTCGCTTACTTGGTTGACACATGTCAACTGCGTAAATAGATGTTCATGGTGTTGATCACTGGATTGTCTGGTCCAGACATGAATAATTGGTGAGTGCGGCGATAAACAACAAACAAACAAAAAACAATTTAGTGAGATTTACCCATTTCAGCCTTAAGACAAACACGTACGCACATAAGATAGGTGTACTTTATCCTCTATGTACAAGCATGAGATTGTTCCATTGTACCATTTCCTTCATGTTAAGAAGCGCTCGGTTCCAAACTATGTTCTTAATGTTGAAATATCTGTTGTCATGTTATGTAGAGGTGTGACTATACAGAAATTTCACGATACGATACGTATTGCGATATCTTGAAACGATACGATTCGATGCATATCACGATATGCTATCTTTAGTTATTTTCCTTCAAAATGTATATTTTGAAAGCAAGTAACAGTGTAAATTTTGATAGTGTAAATCGATACTACGATATATCGTCACAGCTCTAATGTTATGACAAACTAGGATGTTTGCCATCGTAACACACGACTGGCGTAACTCCCATGGTTTAACACAGTGTGAGTGAGTTGAGTTTTACGCCGCTTTTAGCAATATTCCAGCAATATCACGGCGGGGGACACCAAAATAGGCTTCACACATTGCACCCATGTGGGGAATCGAACCCGGGTTTTCGGCACGACGAGCGAACGCTTTAACCACTAGGCTACCCCACCGCCCCGGTTTAACACATACTTTGCGCTACGATAACTTTGCGGAACGGGAGCCACTACGATGTTCGTCTATGATGAAGTATATCCACAAGCGGAGAGTTCAAGGCAGTTAAAATTGAAGAATTTAACCAGGTCTCCGTACAACACAGAAGACACCTTTCCTTTTCGCAAACAGGTATTCGACACATGAATCAAGTTCGTTCATCTTGTTTCTAAGAGACCGAACATTGGCAAGAACAATCGTTGGAAGCGGCGGTTTGTTTGGTCGACTCCGTCAAAGGCTGGTTCTGTCACGAATGTCAGTTTATTGATTGTGATTTATGTCACTAACCTTTCACCATATCTTTCCAGCACGCTATATAAAGTTGGCACGTACAACCCACCTTACCTGCAGTCTGCCAGGTCCATCATTGGCTGCGGCACGTGCAATCCCTGCAATTGCTGTCGAGGCAGGTCACATGGCAGCCCGCCATAACAAAGTCCATGTGCTTGGGGTAAAGCACACTCCACAATCGATCAATACAAAAAATAAGTGGATTGTTAGATCTCAGGTATGTTGTGTGAGTGCTGAATGAATGCTGAATAGTGTGATGTGATCTATTTGTTCTATCTAAACATGCGGCAGTCGGTTTGTTTTCGAGTATGAATTTCGTGATAGATAATTTCAGATATTAATCGTTATTTTTCATGTTTTTTATATCCATTTCGCAAAGCCGAATGAGATATTATTTTCAGGTTTGGGATTGATGAAAATCCACCAAGAAGTATTCTGGGCTTTGACACCGAATTCTCGTTTCTCATCCAATCAGATTGAAGCACATACGCACATGTGTTTTAGAAAATAGTTTGTCCAACCGTTATAAATACGGTACCTGGCTGAAAACAGTCACTGAAACGTTGAAAAGGTGAGGACAAAACACATCTGTGATCCGTAATTTTTTTAAAAAAACCCCCAACATCCTGAAGGTTTCGCTCTTAACGACCATCAACTCTTTTCCCCGAGAATTTACACAATAATAATAACCATACCCAATTGTTAAAACACATGCCAAACAAAAAATACACTCACAAATCCGCTGTTATTGCTGTTTTTTGTTGTTAAATACTAAGCGTCATTAATAAAGAGTCAAATGATATATACCAGATGTAAAGAAACGTTTCACAGAAATAATAGAAGGGTCGTCATAATGTTTAATGTGACAAACGTGACACATCGTGACATACAGAAAAAAGGTTAAAAAAGCACAAGCAAACATAAGTTTATAGACCAATCCCCCCAAAATGAATATGACAAACATGAAGCACTCGGTTATTCAATATCTTGTGTACCCTCCTCGCGCGTCCAAGACACAGGTACGCTTTGTTCTCATGCTCCTTATCAAGTTAATAAATTATAACTTCTTTGTTGGGCATTTTAGAATCAGCACTAGCATAAATATAGTTTGCGGCATCGCATTCCATTCCTCTGCTAGAGCTCTGCGGAGTCCTTGGAGATCCACCAGTGTTGGGTGACGTGTGTACACACGTCGACCGAGTTCATTCCATGCATGCTCAATTGGGTTGAAGTCTGGCGAGACTGCTGACCTCTCCATCTGCTTTACACCCTGCTGCCTAAGGAATTCCGTGACAATCCTTGCCCTTTAAGGCCTAGCGTTGCCGTCTTGCAGCAGAGTGTCGACCATAAAAGCCATGCATAGCTTGCAGTAGTGGTACTGCTATAGGAGCCAGAATTTCGTCCCAATAACGTCCAGTAGGAGTTATCCCTGCCCACACCATGACCTACCCCCGCCAAATCGGTTATGCGTGGCCACAGTTGCATCTGTGATTCGCTAAATAATAAATCCTTTTCCGACCATCATGGAAGGACAAACTGAATCTGCTTTCATCTGTGAAGAGCACACGACACCATTGACGTTGATTCCAGCGGCCATGATGGCCGCTCCATCTCAAACGCGCCTGCCTGTCGCGTGGTGTTAGTGGTGGACGAACTGCAGGTCGCCTACAGCGGGGTCCGGCTGCCCTTAAACGTCAACGGACGGTTTTTGATTTAGAATCATGCGATTGACGGTGAGAGATTCAAATACACGAACGAGCGTTTGTTGACATAACGGCTCGCACTGGTCCAACTGAGTGTATTTCTGACGATCTTGCGACCGCCTCCGTGGTGTAGTGGTTAGAGCGTTCGCCCGGAGAGCGGAAGGTCGTGGGTTCGATCCCCGACCGCGTCATACCAAAAGACGTTAAAATATGGTACTTGTTGTTCCCTGTCTGGCGCTCGGCATTAATGGGTACAACAAGGACTGGTCGGCTCGGAGTCAGTATAATGTGTCTGAGTGGGGTATTCATGCTTCACTGCGTCATGGTATCTCAGTGGGCTAGCACTATAAAACCAGCTTAAGTCTGGGCTAGTACAAGCAGCCGCACATACACATACACACGCATGCACGTCGTCATATGAGCGAAATATTCTCAAGCACGACGTAAAACCCAATTTCACCTCACCTCTGACGATCTTGCGGGCTTCTTGTGGTGAGTGTACGTGAACAGTTTTAAGAAATGTAATTATACATCGCAACGAGTTTCAAATAAAAACAATAATATCATATCTGTATGTATGAGTTCTTCGGTGATGTTAAGTACCATTGGAATGAATCAGGAATAGAGTTATCGTTCCTGTTTAAAGTAGTTCTGATGTTCATGCACCAATGTGAAATCATTCCAGAGGGGGCACGAGTCGCTATTCGGCTTGTCCCGGAATAACACGAGTTGGTCACGAATGGTTCTGATGTTCATGCGCCAATATGAAACCCTTCCAGAGGGGCACGAGTCGCTATTCGGCTTGTCCCGGAATAACACGAGTTGGTCACGAATGGTATTCGGCTTGTCCCGGAATAACACGAGTTGGTCACGAATGGTATTCGGCTTGTCCCGGAATAACACGAGTTGGGCACGAATGGTATTCGGCTTGTCCCGGAATAACACGAGATGGTCACGAATGGTATTCGGCTTGTCCCGGAATAACACGAGTTGGTCACGAATGCCACTGCCGAATGGCGGCCATCACAGCTGGGCGACTCGCCATACATTTACTATAGAAAAATCCGAGACATGTTTCATAGCATTTTCATCGATACTATGGCATATATACGTCACCAGAACCACGCCCATCGTTACTTTCAGTGTACGAAAACGTTATTTAAGCAGTTTCGAGACACGAAAATCGTCGTTACATGGGCGAACTGTAAACAACGACACACACCCTATGTTCAACACCGACATATGTGTTCAAATTTCGTGTCAGCTCCCTTTTGTCACGAAATCGTACACATAAAACATGGATCTGAACGACCACATTCATTGAATATAGTTAGGATCATTATTTTAGCAAATTTGATCACGAAAATCCGGGTTAGAATTGGCCATTAGCATCCCATACTTGTCGTAAGAGGTGACTAACGGAACCGAGTGGTCAGGCATGTCATCGTATCCTAACTGCGTAGAAAGGCAACATATCCTGTTCCAACGGTGACGCATAACATAAGACCCGTTAATATCCGGGTAAAGATTGATCTACAGTAACGGGATCGGGTGGTCAGGCTCGCTGGCTTGGTTGACACCAGTTAGGGTCCGTTCATAACTCATGGCTACAGGGGTGATGAAGTTAAAATGGGATGTTCTGGGGAGGTGTGTGTGTGTGTGTGTGTGTGTGTGTGTGTGTGTGTGTGTGTGTGTGTGTGTGTGTGTGTGTGTGTGTGTGTGTGTGTGTGTGTGTGTGTGTGTGTGTGTGTGTGTGTGTGTGTGTGTGTGTGTGTGTGTGTGTGTGTGTGTGTGTGTGTGTGTGTGTGTGTGTGTGTGTGTGTGTGTGTGTGTGTGTGTGTGTGTGTGGTTTTTGGGGGGTTGTTAACTTATTACCCAATAACTAGGGGTGGGTGTTTGTTCCTAAAATATTACAATTTATGCTTAAAAATTATGGGAAGGGTGTGTCATTGATTTTGTACATAACATGGGGGGGCACTTTGTACAAAAAAATTGGGGGTGGGAGGTGGGTGTCATTGACATTGTACATGCTTCTCTCCAAAAATCGTCATCACCCTCCCAAGCCATAACGGTCCCTTATCGTATCCGAATTGCATAGATGCTCATGATGTCAATCACTGGATTGTCTGGTCCAGACTCGATTATTTACAGACCTCAGCCACATAGCTGGAATAAAGCGGAGTGCGATCTAAACGCATCAGGTGAAATCTGATGGGAATTGGGTGTGTGATCTCTTCTCGATGGAGTTGTTTGTTGTTTGTAATCTCGGTCACTGGTTTGTCTGGTCCAGACTAATTTATTAAGGTGTAACTGGAAACTTACTGTGTCGATGTGCAGGTTTCGCTCAAGCATTGTCTGAAGACGACACAACGATTGCATGGTGTTTAAACGGAAAGCTATTTATGATTTTACGTAAGCTTCCTATGTCATGTGCTCACGCTCTTACCGCAGCCTCTTCTGAATGAAATGCACTTTGTCTTGACAATAGATCTTCAAAATATCACCACCAAATAAAACGAATGCACTCCTGCAAGTTCATGGTGTTAAATTAGTCAGATCCAACGAAAATAGCATCAAAGGGAGGTAACTCTTTCAGCTCTAAATGTTGAATTAATTACAGGACACAAACATGATCATGCCTGTACTTGTGCTTGCGCTGAGGCGGCTGGGCGGGGGGACAGGTGGGGTGAGGAGTGTCTGTCTGTCTGTGTGTGTGTGTGGGGGACTTGGACGAAACGGCAATCAACAAGTTTGTTTGTGGTTTATTGCTGCATCCAGCAGTGTCGCAATATATGAGGGCCCAGGCAAACCAGTGGTTGACATCACGAGCATCGGTCTATGCAACTGGGACACAATGACATACACGTATCAACCAGCTGTCCGATCTCGTTCCTTGCCTCTTACGATAAACATGGATACCTGAAGATCCCGACCCCTAAAGGTATGTTGTCTGAAAATATGGTGACCACCCGCAGACCACCACCCCCTTCAGTGGGCCGTAGCCACCTTCCCCCTTACCGCACCCTCAGCTTCAGGCGTGCCGTGTGCAGTACTTAAATTATGAAACTATATCGGACTACACAGAATATCTTTATTTATTATTACTGAAATACGCTTCACTATATTAATTACCATCATGACATTTAAACAAATTACCCAAAATATGTATCATCTAGGTGCACATCTCATGTAGAAATTGTAAACTGTTCAAATTGTCATAAATATACTGTAATTTGTTAAAATGGTGCCTGTGTGTGTGCTAGTTCAGGTTTAATCCACAGCCATCGATTAGTCTTTTGACCACAATTGATACACGTCTCGGCTTGGAATACGATTAAGAAGGGGTGATATAATTTAGCGAGATCTCAGTTGACGTTTCCTGATCATGTTCATATAACCTAGAGCAGAGTCTTTAGAGGCTGAATAAAGAGACTGTATTTTACAGAATCAATTCTGATCTCAAGGAAAACCGAAACAAATCAATACCAGGCCGAATGCAGCCACAGCCATGTACGATACCAGCAGCATATACTTTGGCTGGAAGGGAGCGTTTGATGGACTGGTGATACAAACACAGGGTACATCTAAATTTTGACAAGTTAATCCGGATTCTGTGGGGCGAAAGTCACGTATCACACGTGCGCGGCACGAGCCCATGATCCCATCGCTGCCAGTTGCTGTCCAGTGCAACGTGATCAAGCTCTGCATGTGTTGTGGAACGAAAACTCGCGGCGTCACCAACATCAGCAGACGATAGCCGCTCGTCTGCGCGGGGTATGCTGCTTCTTTCATTCAATATTCTGGCAAGTGGGGAAGATACGCGAGACTTTGCAGCCAAGAGCTGAATGATTGTATTGGAAGTACTGAAATATTCACCTTGTTACTGCCGGCTTTCATCAGGAGACAGATTTGTCAATGCGGGCAGACGACATTTTCAGTGCGGATCTTGTGCAGTTTCACTGGGAATAACCCGTGTTTTATGTATAGAAAATATCGCCCTATTAGCCAAATAATCGTTAGATTATGTCTTGTGCAACTGGACATCAATATTGGATCCTGGTGGGATTTCTGTTCTAGAAGCTCGATGCACCGGATGTGGAACTGAACTCGGCACAGTGCAAGAAGCCGGCGACTGATACGGTTGTGTGTGTTCCTAACGGGAGACTGAGGGCCACTGGACGCATCGTCTGGCATCAGAATTGGAGTTGACATTGTCTCTTTACCAGCTCCAGGCAGATCTCATTTACATAGGATAACAGGACTTGAGGTAGATACTCCCCATTAGGGCGCCCATCAATACTCTCAAGTTGCGTTTCCCGTGGTTCTATGGGAAACTGAGAGATTGATTTAAGGGAGATATACTAGTAAAACAAACCTGAAACGCCTGTAGTAATTTCTTTGATTGTCTTGCTCGGTAGCTGTAAGTGCATCCTACTTAAACGCTCAATGCACATTCCTGAATAATTGCTTCGTAATGACATGATATTTATGGGTACTTAAAATATTACAGTTTTTAAATTGCATCATATAGCCTGAATCTTCAAAATGCACCAAATATAGGACGTCTCGGTCTAGGAAACAGGATTCATTCCTTATGAAAATATTGATTCAACCCCGCGTCAAATGCTAAGTGTACTTTTCTAATGGAAGCCACACTCCTTTTAAACCCAACCCGCTTCTTTCTTGGAACAACATTAAAATTAAAACGAAAAACGTTTGCTTTTCCATTACAAGCTAGCTCACAAGACACTGTCCAAATCACAAAATGTAACTCTCTAACATCGACTGCTCCGTTGAGGCTCACGCACAACCGGCAATTCAAGATATCGATCCTATGGGAGCATCGTCTGTCTCGTTGGGTCAGTACATACTTTAATCTGTGCATCCCATTGTTTTAAATCGACAGAACAGTAGTCGAAGGGGATCCATTGACATGTTTATTGGGATTTCTTCTCCTCAGATACCTAACAGACGAGAAGTTTACCCATTGATCGTCTGCTTCGAGTGTTGGCTGATTCAACTATCGTCTGCTACCCGTGATAGGTGAGTTATGCTTTTGTAGCCTTGCAGATGCGGCGTCAGGAAACCTGGAATCCTGGGTGAATGCGCCGGGAACATGTCGATAAAGTGCATTACGCTCTGTCATAGTCATCTGTTGTACCCACTGCATCAAATAAGCATTACATTGCGGGTCGGATGTGTTGGCACTTGTCTTCGTAAACCTTGATGCCCAGGTACATGCATATTGTAATGCTTAATGATTTCAGTGACCATCAGCTGACCTGTGTCTGCTTCAGAACCCGAGATAGTCGGTGTCAAATGAGTAATGACATGTATTGGTAACCATACACTTCTGCCTTGTATTTAATTGTCCATGATAAAGTAACTCCAAATATGCAGCAAAATGTGAATAGGCATGACACCTATTTTTCTGATTGAGGTCATTTGATAAATAATAATTTTGTGTTTGTTTATAGACATATACAGCAGTGTAAGGGTGAAGTTAAAATGAACAATCAGTAACACAAAAAACACCTTAGTCTTTGAAACGTCTCCTCCCTGTATTTGCACACTGTTTTTAAAATTTCACCTACATGTCTAAAGCTCATACGTTTAAATGTTGCGACATTCTAAGAAAATGCTGATGAGGCAAGAATTACTTCACCACAAGGTAACGATACAGATACAGGTTCAATTCGCAGACAGAATTCAACAGCTAATGAAAGTTATGCATTAAGGTTGGCATCGATTTGTAACTGAGCCCATATTCTCAAAGGACAAGGACCCCAAAATGAAGAAATAGGTCACCGTGTTACGTCAACCGGATTTGCTAATGTCTTCATCCACCCACAACTTGCAACGTGTGTGTTTAGGGGATCAATGGCTGGTGGCGGTGCCTCTGCTGATAGATGAATAGCTTTGTGCCACAACGACAGTGTCACAACGGCTCCATTAACCCGTGGGCCATGTGTGGTGTACTGTTGTACTTCATTAACAACATCCGGAGAGTTTCTAAAGAAGCCATTATTCGCAGCAAAGTTTGCTGTCTACTCCAAAATTGCCGGAATGGAGCTTGGATGACAACCGAGTCTTCATTCAGTCCGACATAAAAACGCGTCGTTCTTCGTACAAATACTGTGCCACTGCCCACCTATGTTTCCTGAAATAGGACCTTCAGATGAAAGCCTTTCGTACATTCATTTTTTTTCGCTATTATTCCGTCTGATATATATAATGAATGATGTCCTGTTGAACTAATGGTCTTGGTTGTAGCATCAATATGTTTATCCTTAGTCAAACAGAAGTGCAATATGATTGGTTAGCTGGTCTCTGGTCAAAGCTAACAATGATTCATCAGCCTTTTACAACATAAGATGTAAAATTCGACCCCTGCCAGGTATTTTATTAAACACAAAGTTATTTTTAATCATTGAATTTTAAGCAAACCTTAAAATTAGCCAAAATGGTTCCTTTCAGGGATGCGTGGAAACCGAACTCATGTCAAGTGAAAAAGTTCCAATGTCACTACCTAAATATTTTCCATTCAGTGACAATATCACGATTGCATTTCACTGTATGGTGAAAACCCCTATCTATATATACTTCACTAGAAATGTGGGGCGGTGGGGTAGCCTAGTGGTTAAAGCGTTCGCTCGTCACGCTGAAGACCTGGGTTCTATTACCCACATGCATACTCTCTGAGAAGCCCAGTTCTGGTGTCCTCCGCCGTGATATTGCTGGAATATTGCTAAAATCGGTGTAAAACTAAACTCACTCACTCACTAAAAATGTCGAAATATCGCTGTTTTGCTCACGATAAACAAAATATACCCTCGAGTGTAATGTTTCCAGTTACAATTTTTTAGTTTAAGACAGATTATAATCAAATCCCAAGACATGCATTTTTTGTCAGTAAAACACGTGATCGAACAGTTTTTTAACAAAAGATGTTTCTCATGACAACCGTTATGTCCAATTGTTTTCTGAAACGATTTTTATTGTCTTTCCTGTCAGTCGCTCCCCAGGCTGTGCGAGTGTAAATGATCGAGCATTCTGAACTTAAATGTACCGTTACGTTTTATCCGCGTACTTCGTGGCTTCAATTACTGTCTTCTTCTATCACCACCCACGTCCAAGTTCTATCTCGGCGTAAGCGTCAAATGTCTTAGTTTCTCAGTGTCTTCCTTTTTGTCACGATATATGCATCCCTAGATACCAACCGTGATAATACGTATATTTACGTATTTTTGGGGTATTGCATGCCACGGACAGATATTGTTCAACGCTTAAGAGTAACGTTAAAACTAGGATGTTTGGTCTGTGTTTCATGTGATAGTTTTTTGAGAGCCTGTTCACTTCGGCAGTATTTTTACGATGAATCCGTCCGGGACTTGTTGGACAGTTGGTACCAGTAGGGAAGAATACGTTCACCTTTTTGGCGAACAACAACCTTAACTTTTTGATAGTGATTTATAAATACGTGACTGATATTGCTGGAATCTTACAATTTGATGTGCCTTTCTTGGAGAGATTTCTAATACGTGTGAGGACCGTGGTAGCCAAGTGGTTAAAGCGTTCGTTCGTCTTGCCGAAGACCCGGGTTCGATGCCCCACATGGGTACAATGTGTGAAGCCAATTTCTGGTTTCCCCCGCCGTGATAATCCTGGAATATTGCTAAAAGCGGCGTAAAACCATACTCACTCACTTATGCGTGTGGAAAGGGTGTTGTTATATATATCTATATATGTAGAAACGTTCCCACCAGCAGTAGTCCAAATGATGGCGTTTATGACGTTTCACAGCTTAAAAAACAATCATCAGTTGAGATACTACATCACTGATTTGTTGTTTGAATGCATGTGAAGACTACATAAACCTTTGTCCTCTTCCCATCTTCACTCCCAAACAGAATCAAACCCAGCGTATCTACGTGGAGGGTCCACAAATTGGTTTTGGGCTACCGATCCCAGCATCCATTCTTAGTTCCTTCCTGTAACTGCGTGTGAAGGCATGATATCTTACCAAACATAACCTTATTTATCCCTTACCACCAAGTCGACATGAACCTCGCTGCTTGCGAGTACAGAGCAATACGCCGTGCATAATTGAATACTGCTATCGTACACCCATGACCTTGGAAACTACAACGGAGCACGTACAAAAGACGTTCCCGTGTGGCTTGCTGACAACGGAAGATGATTTTCGTTAGTAAATATGGACTGTGAGTCTATTTCTTGAATGATTTGAATTCAAAAGCATACTCCCATCACAAAGGATGACCTTGGAAACCCAACTGTATCGCAGATGGAGATGCTTTTGTAATAGAAATAGGTTCCAGAAGCCCCATACTGAGACGACCCAGTTGCGGGGCAATGGCTCCTGCAGTAGGTCACGGTCTACGCCGAGCGAGATGCAGTCTAACCTCCAGCCAGCTTCATCCGGTACTGCACCTTAATCACACCATCAATCATGTCTAGTGCATACTCCACACCCACGAGTCCTCGTGCATACCACACGCGACATCCGATCAATACCTTTAATTTCCTACCATTGGTCGGGTCTTCTCGTGTTACACATCCGGCCTTACTAGGCCTCGTATTGTAATATTAAAGAGAGACCCACAGAGAATTGTATAATCCGCAAGTAAATGCTAAATGGTGTTTCCAGCCGTTTGGAGAATTCCTTCTTCATAATGTTTTCTTTATTTTAGCTTTGTAACCTAATACTTCTGTTACACACCAGAATCGACGTGAACTTAGCGCTAGATTGCTTCAAACCTGAACCCGTCTGAGGCTTGAGACGTGTATGCAAGGCCACAGTTAAAACGATAAAATACATGATGAGGTTGCGTCTAACTGCTTCCAGTGGGAGTAGGTGGAGAGGCTATTCATGAGGGACCACAACATGTAAATATCAAAGACCACTGAGAACGTGCCATCTAGAATATAGCGATGGACGGAATATCTAATCACATATAGATTAATTCCCATCTGTTCGATTTGTTTGTATTTATATATAATTAATAATGTGTAATTACAGCTACAAATATCAAGCGGCAGAGTAAAATGATCAGTAAAACTACACATACTATCGTGAAGTACATGCTGAGTAGGAGCGCGGAAACAATACAACACAGAAACTGACGGATATGACGTATTCTGGCCATTGATCACACCCAGTGTTGTATACATACTGATTACTGGGTTAGTTGGGTACAGAATTGCACATCTGACAACCAAATCACCATGATGTGCAGGAACGCAATACAATTTCACATGTTCAAAGCAATGGCCTATACGCCCATACAATTTTATGATAAATGTTGGCCTCTGACCTCCACAGAAACACGGTATTATGACACATGTCCGACTTATGACCCCCACAGCCACACAACATAAATGTTGGCCTCTGACCTCCAATGAAACCCGGTATTATGACACACGTCCGACTTATGACCTCCACAGCCACACAACACCACAGGACATGTTATAAACACCACCTCTACAGCTACACAACACAATGAAACGTGTTCCAGCCAATGACCTCAACAATCACACAATACCATGACACTTGTTCCAGTCAAAGATCCTAACAGCCACACAATACCATGGCACTTGTTCCAGTCAAAAATTTCAACAGTCACACAATACCATGACATTTGTTCCAGCAAATGACCTCAACAATCACACAATACCATGACACGTGTTCCAGTCAAAGATCCTAACAGCCACACAATACCATGACACATGTTCCAATCAAAGATCTCAACAACCACATAATACCATGGTACTTGTTCCAATCAAAGATCTCAACAACCACACAATACCATGGTACTTGTTCCTATCAAAGATCTCAACAACCACACAATACCATGACACGTACTTGTTCCAATCAAAGATGTCAACAGCCACACAACCTTTGTACAAACCAATGACCTCTGCATCTACACATGATTTATAAATGCACAAAATGTACAAGACACACAACCCAACCAGTCGTCGTTACCGGAACACATTACCCTGACACGCCAGTTCTCACCCTT